TTTAGAAAACAAACAAACAGTTCCAATCCCAGTTAAATACAGAACTTGAAAAGTGTTCCAGAAAAAAGTGCTGGCTAAATTACCTCTGAAAGAGAAACACAACATGGAGAGAGAGGGACACGATGAGAAGGGCCCTGAGGGTCCCCTGTGTCCCCCTCTGCCACCCTCACCCCCAGGTTCTCCCCCACCTACCCTGTAACAAAACCTCGTTGTCCGGTTGGCACATCAGCAGACACTACAATGAGGTGACCGTAAAAGTGTCCTCGGGGTGTTGTTGCTCTACCATGGGTCCCAAAAACCCGCTCTTCTGGCTGGGGGCCATGACGGGGTGACCTTGGGGTGCAAAACTGGGGTACCTGTAGTTGTCCTGCAGCTGCAACATTGAGTCTCTCGGTACGGGGGAGATGTTCAAGTCATTGATCAAGGGACAAGCATAGGGTCCTCGGTGGTGAGCCCGGGACATCTCCAAGGGCTCCTTCTCGCCCTTGGAGGGGTGGGTGCCGCTCGGGCTGCTCAAGTGGGGGTTCAGACACGGGGGGTCTGTCCTGCCCATGAAGTCTACCAGCATCCCGGTGCCCGCCTTGCCGTCGTAGGAAGGGCTGCGCGTGCTGGCGTTGGGGGAATACCAGTACGGGGGATTTTTGCAGCTGGGGGAGTCGTAGTGCGGTTGAGGCATGGGGAGGTCGCGGCAAGCCAGGTGCGGGGCGTGCGGCAGGGCCCCCCCCTGCATGCTGTGTTTGAGCGAGTCGCAGGTGGGCAGCTTTCGGATGCTGCCCGCCCGGAGGTCCTCCTTGAAGGCCAAGGTCGGGGAGCAGTTGGGCGAGAAGGCTTTCTGCAAACCGGCCTCAAACACAGTCTGCTGGCCGGGGGCTGCCAGCTGGTGTGGGAGGGCAGGGAAGTGCTTGCTTTCCAAATCCGGCTGCCCCAAACCAGGGGAGTCGCTCTGGAACCCCTGGACGAAGGTCCCGTCTGAGGGGGTGGAGGGGTTCATGGAGTAGGGGCCGGTGTAGTCGCAGGGGTCCCGCTCCCCCACCCCGAAGCCCCGGGACTGGGAGGGCAGGGGGGACATGCTGCTGTCCCCGCTGTAGTAGTCCAAGCCCAGGTCCGTGCTCTCCTGGAAGAGGGGGTTCACCGCCTGTGACTTGGTGGGGAACTTGGCTTTGCCCGTCCCCCTCTCCTTCTTGGAGGCACAAGCCCCTCGGGAACCCCGGGGCTGCCGGGGTCCCGTGTTCCTCTTGGCGGGGTACACAGAGGAAGAAGAGGAAGAGGAGGAGAAACTCAGGTGGGAGGTGTCGAACATATCCACCTTCTTCCGTCGGCCTCGACCGGGCTTAGAGTTACTCTGGAAGAGGACACTCTGGTTCCAGTTGTAGCCAGGGGCAGAGGATGCCTCGTTCCAGTCCATCATCAGCTTCTCCAGGCTGGAGAGGCTGGACTGGCCCTCGCTGGAGGACGCCTCGCTGTTGGCGCGCCGGTAACCAGCCGGCTGGTTGAACTGGGTGCTGTCAGAGGAGGACTCGGAGAAGGTCTCGGAGACCGTCTGCTGCTTGGCTTTCTGCGGGGTGTAGTTGGAGATGTCCAGGATGACATTGGGTTCATTGAGGTGGCACTCGAAGCCCGGGTTGTAGAGCTGGCTGAAGGCTTCCGAGCTCCAATCCAAGCCACCATAGCCTTGCCGGAAGGCCCACGGCGCAGCGCTGGGGAACTGCCGGCAGTTTTCAGGCGAGGGCTGGAAGGATGCCGAGCCCTTGGGCACCATGTAGCCGCCGGGCGAGACGGTGCTGGCCCGGCTGTCGCAGCGCAGGGGGGTGTGCGCGGCGCTGGAGAACTGCCCCCCCTGCTCGGCACTGTTGAAGAAGGCGGCTTTTCCCAGCGGCAAACTGGGACCAGCTGTTGGTGGCGCGTAGCCGGCACTGTGGGCACTGCTGGGCGAGGACGGGAGGCTGCTGCCGCTGCCGTAGGCGAAGCTGCAGTCCTTGCTGTTGGGGCAGTCCTGTGCTGACGGGTACTGCTTTCCTGCCGGGAACACACTGGCGGGCGCCACGCTCTGCCCGGCGCTGCCGTAGCTGCCGTACGGGGAGTAGCCGGGGGCGCCGCTGGCGGCCGGGTGAGCCGTGGGCGACCGCGACACGGCCGATGGCGGGGCCAGCTTGGGGAAGGACTCGGTGCCCCGGCACTCCGACGAGCTTTGTGTCACGCCGTAGCCGCCGGAGGCGCGGCCGGGCGGGAAGGCCGGGCGGCC